CCTTCAGTGAGAATCTACAATGTAAATAGTCATGAAAATAAAGAAAACGCATTGAATGAGAAGGTGTGTCCAAACCTTTGGCCTGTACTGTAGGTCAATTGGCCCCCAGGGTTAGAGTGAGCTGTTTATGTCTGCATAGGCAGCCGGTCCTAATGTATGGAGATCACCATTTTGCACCAGCGTGTTTCCACAGTAGCCCAGAACAGACAAACCAAACACTGGCTCTAGACAGGGCCATTTGTGTTTTGTCATGGGCCACCATACTTAGCAGCCCCTCCATGATGAGAGCATGGGAAACACACAACATTTTTTAAAAACTGGTTGTTTTTTTTTCCAATATTTTTACTGGTTTAAAGCACCTGGTTCATTTGTTTTGGAGATGAAGAGACCTCTGAGGATAATTCAGCTCCTGGTAAAAACCTCCTGAGCAATGAACACTGAAGGAATTCTAACTGGGAGAAGTTTCAGCTGGTTGTAATCTGCCATCGCTAGTTGCCACTAAATCCCCCTAAATCTTGCTCCTTTCAACATAATGAAAGACGCTGATATCAAGAGGTTTTTGGATATGTGGAAATATCACAATGTGGACCTTTTCAAGAGGGTGGCTGAAGGAATGAAAGAGGGAGGCTGTGTTCACACGTCCGAACAGATCACTACCAGTGGACAAAAAAATCTTTTTTGATGAAGAAGATGCAAAATGACAAGCAGATCTATTTTGACACGATACAGGACATGTTAGGTCACCCTAATCAGAGTACACATGGCTGCAAACATCAGTAGAATATTCATTTTCATCAGCCCTGTTAGCTCAGCTTAATCAGAATATTGTCTTTTTTGAAATAAGGGCAAAACCCAGAATATTTTGTGCATGTAAACATAGTCGTGTTTACAGCAGGTCTGATGGCCCTGTAGCAAAATCCACTCTTGCAACAATTCTATTTTTAGTTTAGGGATGTAGGACGTCTACAGACAGTCTGCAATCACAGAGAGAAACACTTTATAATTAACACACCCACCCACAGCAGCCAAGAGACGATTGTAAATAAAATTTCAGACTTTGAGAGCCTTATTTTAAGGAAATGAAATAAATGCTTTTAAAAACATTCCAAAGACCTGCAAATGAAAAACACAGCGGTCATGCACATCCTAAAACTATTCAAGGCAGGTGCTAGACAACAACAAAACGGCAATAAACAGTCTGAAGGAGAGCATTCAGATCAAAATGTCACTTGTTGATGTGCCGATAAATGTCAGTTGAGAGCTACAGCATGTGAACCTTTTTTGCGTGCTGATAAAGACCTCTTCAGGTAGAAGCCTATTTCACTCCACTGTTCGAATTGCTGTCACAGGAAGTGATGTGGCAGGGTTTGGCTGAAGCATCACATATAAAAGCTGGCGATTGTTTGGGTGAAGACATCGTATAGGGCATAATTTTGCTCTCAGCACACAGCAGATACATTCCTGTTCAAAATATCATCACCTGCTGTTCCAGGAGACGCAGCCAGCAGCTGAAATCCAGTCTGAGGAGGCGTTCAGGGACTTCAGTAGGTGAGAAATATACTGTCTCACTTTAATTCTTTATTTGTGCATGGAATAATAAAAGACAAAAAAAGAAAAAAAGAAAAATAACAACATAAGAAAATGTGCAGGTGGACTGAAAAAAACGTTGATTTTGTGATGAGAGAACCAGGAGTGCTAAAATGCTACTCATTTCTGGGATTTAAGACTCATTCCTGCAGCACTCTACAGAGATGCCACAGGTGGACAGTAAATAGTGGGGTACAAAAAAGCTTCACAGACACTGAGCACATATTCAGTTTATGAGCGAACATGTGTGCTTGTCTGTACAACTTGTGACACTGTCTGTAAACGTCCTTATCATGTAGCTGGAGCCATGGCAGTCAGCTGGATCATTCTGTTCTATGGCCTGGGACTGGTACCAGTACACCTTTGTATCTTTATACAACATAACATTCATATTATATGTCCACTGCAAAAACAGTGACATTGATTATTACGATGATGATGATGATGTAATTTTTCTTGTATTTACCAGGCAGCAGCTAAGCTAACGGGTGATACAGGTAAGTCACATATTTTAAATGTTTTTCATGTTAATTACTGTCAAAAGGGGGACAAAAACTTGACTCAGGCTGAGGTTGGATTCAGAGTGAGAAGATTTCAAATACCCTGTACCCTTTACACTTGTGATTTTTTGGCAGGCTAAAAAAACTCTGTGCATCTTTGCTGAGAAGGCTCTCACTCAGAATGATTTAGAAATTAATTTCAAATCTTAAGGTCAGGCACAATTTTAAATTGAAGAATTGACATTTTAAAGTAAACATGTCTCAGGTCTGTGGGACAGGAAGCAACCCTAACTGCTCCAATACATTGGTAATTATGTAAATAAGGTACTTTTGTAGTCCTGTTTTGAGCAGCATCTAATTGATTCCACATCTACAGAAAGGGATGTTGATGAAGGTCGTGACTGGGACATCTTTGACATCAATGAAGGTTTGTGGACACATTATGGTTTTTGCTTTGTTGTATAATCTGTGCATATTGCTGAGGATTTTCATCAAATGATGAAATTTTCCTGTTGCAGCGGCGGGGCTGGACCTGCTGGAGGGAGATATCGAACAGGACGATGTAAGCTGGTCTACACAGACACCAAAGACTCCAAAGGCTCCTGCTACTCTTCAGTAATCTCCATATTCAGGCCTATTTGAGTATGGCATTATATTTAATCAGGAGAGACAGATGAATGAAGTAATAATAACTGTGTGATAAGATTACAGGTGTAGAGATTACCAGATTATGTGCTGCTCAAGATTTGACAGAAGACTATCCAGTACGGAGTCCAGATGCTGATGAATCTGAGAACACTAGGCTGTGATGGAGAGGTGGAGGTTGCATACCACTGTAGTAAGAAAGAACTGCAGGCAGGAAGAGAGGCATGTTTAAAACAAGAAGCAGAGACTGTGTGTTGCTGTGCTGTTGGTTCACTGTGATCAGCTGGCAGACAGGCAGAGTGAATGGCTAATGGTACAAGACATAAATTACAGATCTTATGCAAAAGCTTAGCAGACTTCTACCCAAACAAACACTGACATGAAGATTCTCTCAGCTATATCCAAGACATATCTCAGGACTACAAGGTAATCTGCTAGTTTATTGTAACAGCTTGGTCTGGTCTTATTGTTCCATTTTGTTTGTCGTCTTTTTGCCTAACTGTTTTTATGGTAATGCTGCTAAATAAGGGAATCAGTTGCCTGCTTAGTGAAGACTTTTAGTGCACGTTTCTCTAATATTATAGTATGTTGTAAAGTATTAATTTCATTGACAAAAACTGTGTGCTGCTGGATGCAATTATCCTGAAAATGGAAATTCACCACAATCGTGTATTGTGATCCACAGTAAAATCATATATCGTCCCGTCCCTTGGGATAATAATTTATCCACAAAAATATGTTTTTCTGTCCTCAAAATGCCCCATTGTGCACTCGGAATTAAGACACTAACTTCCATATTTGAGCAGTATATGCAGGAAATAAAGCTGGGTGATTTGAACAGCATTAATGCGATGATAAATCATTGAATAATTAAAATGATGCTGGTGTAGAGATGAGAGAGAGAGAGAACACAACTTTATCAGTCTCAGGTCTCATTTTTAAGTGATTGTTTGGAAAGACACAGTAATAATCAAGGAACGCAAACAATTCCAAAACACCAGGTTACAGTTCGATCACTAAAGTGAGTTCGCCCTGTTTTTATTCATCTCTATTTGTATATGTGTTGTTCTCTTCATTCCAATCAGGCATTCAGAAACTCCAGAATAGGTGACGAGTATCGCTGGCCAACAACCATTCCCTACTACCTAGAGGACAGTCTGGGTAAGACACCGCATTACAATGGAAACTTGCATTCACTGTACTCATCATGTTATCATGGATATGCACCAAATGAGGAAGCTTTTTGTTTCTTTGTGTTACACTTTGTAATATGTAGAGATCAATGCAAAGGGAGTGATCCTGAAGGCATTTGACCAGTACAGACTGAAGACCTGCATTGACTTCACACCACGGAAAAAAGAGGAGAACTACATCTCTGTGTACAAAGGTGGCGGGTGAGCTGCTCTGTTCAGTTCATATAATCTGTGGTATTGAACACAACTGTGTTAGTGCGTATTCAAACTGTCCTCCCCACAAAAAGGCCGAATAGGTCGTCTGTGCAAGCAGACCACATCTCTGTTTACTGTTAGGTAGCGACCTCTGGTGGCTGAAGTAATTATGACAGAAGCAAAGGGCCCAGTTGTTAAGAAAATATCATTTGGATTAGAATGATCCAGATATGGAAATCCAATGTTTTGCTATCCATGTGATTGGATT